TAATTTGATACTAGTACTATACTGATTTTGGTATTGGCTTCGGGATTTCTGCGTAGTATTTATAGTGTACTTCTTTTTGTTATTTCAACGTTTTTCTTTTTGACCATTGTGTTATCTGTTTTACTGCACTTCTGTCTTTGTATTGTCCCATCGGTATCTTCGCCGTCTTTTTACTCCATTTAAACTATTTTGATTACAAAAATGGCGAAAAAAGGACTACTATATGAGTCATTAAAAATTTCGAATTTTGAAATTTGAATATGGAATAAATCTTACCAGCTGAAACCTTCACATTTATTAGAAAAGTATAACAAAATGTTTTACTTCTATAGCATACATGTATATACAGAATGCATTCTTTAAAAGGATTTCATACAAGAGTGTATAAAACTTTTGATAGGTAGTGCAATATTTTGTCTATCGTTTTACCGTTTTCGATAGGAATTTCGGCTATAAAGAAAAGGTATGGATATAACTTAAGCATGCTAAGACTTGTGTTTCGTTAACAATGAATGTGTTTTCAAAATCAAAACTTCCCTCAAATATTGTTTTACTGTTATAGCTTTGATTTTGGTAACAAGAACGTATATGTATGATAAATTACCAAATTTAAATCTATTCTGTCTATCATGTGTTACTTGTTTTGTCTATCATGTTACTTGTATTGTCTATCATGTGTTACTTGTTTTGTCTATTATGTTACTTGTATTGTCTATCATGTGTTACTTGTATTGTCTATCTTGTTACTTGTATTGTCTATACTGTATCTTGTATTGTCTATCCTGTTACTTGTATTGTCTATGCTGTTACTTGTATTGTCTATCCTGTTACTTGTATTGTCTATCTTGTTACTTGGATTGTCTATCCTGTTACTTGTATTGTCTATCCTGTTACTTGTATTGTCTATCCTGTTACTTGTATTGTCTATCCTGTTACTTGTATTGTCTATCCTGTTACTTGTATTGTCTATCATGTGTTACTTGTATTGTCTATTCTGCCACCTGTATTGTCTATCTTTTTACTTTTATTGTCTATACTGTAACTTGTTTTGTCTATCATGTGTTACTTGTATTGTCTATCCTGTCACTTGTATTGTCTATCCTGTTACTTGTATTGTCTATCATGTGTTACTTGTATTGTCTATCCTGTTTCTTGTATTGTCTATCTTGTTACTTGTATTGTCTATACTGTTACTTGTATTGTCTATCCTGTTACTTGTATTGTCTATCCTGTTACTTGTATTGTCTACCCTGTTACTTGTATTGTCTATACTGTTACTTGTATTGTCTATCCTGTTACTTGTATTGTCTATCTTGTTACTTGCATTGTCTATCTTTTTACTTGTATTGTCTATCCTGTGTTACTTGTATTATGTATCCTGTTACTTGTATTGTCTATCCTGTTACTTGTATTGTCTATCATGTGTTACTTGTATTGTCTATCCTGTTACTTGTATTGTCTATCCTGTTACTTGTATTGTCTATCCTGTTACTTGTATTGTCTATCCTGTTACTTGTATTGCATATCCTGTTAAGTGTTTTGTCTATCCTGTTACTTGTATTGCATATCCTGTTACTTGTATTGTCTATCCTGTTACTTGTATTGTCTATCCTGTTACTTGTATTGCATATCCTGTTACGCGCATTTTCGCTATCGTGATCCGTTTTTCTACAGATTTTTTTTTTTATATTTTCGTGATCCGTGATCATGGAAATTTATTTTCTGTGAATCGTGATTGACAAAAAAATCAACTCGTGAATCGTGATGAGACCCCCCCCCCCCCCCATCAGGCCCCTCAGTTATAATGATTTCATACTAAAATACTACATTTCTTAGATTTCAAGGCAATATAAAAACAAGAAAAAATAATTTGAAATATGGTAGCCTGATACTGTACTCACATAAATTCAGACGCTGAAAAACAAATTAAATATGCTTTAATTTCATAAAATGGATGAAAATTTTGTTTATTAGTGATGCAAAGGCTCACAAATCCAGTGACGGATCCAAAAGGGGGGGGGGGGGGGGGTCCGGGTGTTATATGGGTGGAACCCCCTTATCCTGGGTTGGACCCCCCTTTTAAAAATGACTGGATCCGCCCTTGCAAATCCTTAACAATATAAAAATAAGAAGATGTGGTATAATTGCCAATGAGACAACTCAACACCAGAGACCAAATGACATAGAAGTTTTACAACTATAGGTCACCGTACGGTCTTCAACAACTCCATTTAAACGCTTACAACGCCGTAACTTGCCTATTTCAAAAGTGAGGCAAAATATATTCGCCGAGAGAAGCAAGGCGAAAAAAAATTCCGCTCAAGGCCCCCAGAAGCTCTGGAAAAAATGACGCAAAATTGTGCATTCTGAGCGTTTCTCGGACCCGTTCTTAATCTGAAACGCAAGTTTTGTTTTAATTATGTTTTCCACAATATTCTGGTCTCAAAGCAAAATATATAGATTCATTGTAAAACTCTTAGTTTTTAGGGACAACATCAAAAGACCGATAAGTAGGAGAAAGCAAAAATCGTATTTCACATAAGTAAGTGTGTGGCTGCTGTTTTTTTTTTTTTTTTTTTTTTTTAATTGAGAGTTTCGGCTTGCAGAAAACGTATTATACCTGTCAATTTTTTTTTTCAAATCAAGTTAAGAAGGGGCTGATTATCATTTATTTAGCTATATGAATTCAGATTTTATAACGCATTTCAATTACAACTTGATGTAGTTCCTAACTGGGATAAAAGGGTACACTCATGGTAGACTCAGGAAAACTGTTCTTAGACCTCATTGCTACATTTTATACCGGCTGATTAAAGTCGGATCTGTCTGTTCTGGTCTTGTATTGTGTTTATACTTTGATGTATTTTTTTGTTACTTTGAAATTTATTCACAGTACAATACTTTAAGTACCGCTTAAGTCGACGCTAGGGGCCGTCTTGACCTTGTTGTAGGGTATGAATGATTCTTTCATTGTTGAAGACCCTCAAGCGACTGTCAAGATGAAGAACAGGAATAAACACCATTGATAATTTGTACTTTTTCTATGTAGTGTGTGCGATTTTGTCAAGCACATTTACTCCATATCCCTTTATTTTCTATTTAAGGGCCTGAACACGGCTTAATGCAAGTTTAGCCTTTCAGTGTAAAAGGTCGTATGGCAATACATGATTTTTATTTTTTAATGATTTGATTCCGGGAGGTTGCATGGTTGTCTCACTTTAATTTAACCCATGTCAGCTTTTTAGTTTTATTTACAGAAAAGGGAGCTAGTCTTGTATTCTTTAATATGAAGTTTAATTTTCCATGAAAAAAAACGACCAATTTTTCTTTGTCCGATAGCATCGAATCTTCTCAAACCATTTTTCGAAAATTATCTGGACATCGGTGGACATGCAACATTGCCAAACCACACAACCTTTCACCCGTCATCGTTGATCTTTCCCAAGTCTTAAGTCTACTCAAAGCAGAGAATGAACGTTTACAACATACAGATGTTTCGAGAAGAAATCAACAACAGCTTAATATTGGACAACTGAAGCGTTAGTCATAAGGGTTGATTGATTGATTGGTGTTCGCTTAACGCCACCTCAGAACAAAAAAGCGAGAGCTAATTTCAAATATTTTTACAATTTAAAGTAGGTTTTAAAATTAGACAAAAGGTCCTTAAATATAATAAAACTCAAGTTTAAACAAAATTACTAAATTAAATGAAATTCAACACTACTGAAGACAATAGTCATAAAGAAGGGCAATAAACGAACAAAAGACAAACCCAGTAATTAACAGATAAGACAAATAACGACAAACAATAGACAATCAACACTGAAAACTAAAAATAAACGAGGAACATGGATCCCGAAAAACAGGGGACGACGTCAGAGGGTGAACAGAACTTGCTTCTTGCAAGACACTCGCCGTGAAAACAATTTGACATGAAGACAATCTTTTGTTTCAACTTATCATATTTTTTTTCTCGAAATTTTTAAAAATGAGGCATTTGCCTCATTTGCCTCAATGTAGTTACGGCCCTGGCAACGGCGTGTTTAATTGAAAACAAAAACAAATAACAAACTAGTAGTAGGTGTGCAGAAAATTCGACCTATAGTTTGACAATAACCCATATAGTTATAGTAGTATAGGTAGGGGCGGTTTCAGGGTTCGAGGAGATGGGGTGTAACTGTCCTGGCCAGTAATTATATCGCCGAGCATAACGAGTCAGAAATATTTGCAGACGAATTTATGAACCCCCTCCATTCATGAGAAAACTTATTTTTAAATAAAATGGATACACCCCAATGAATCTGACACTGCTCAGAGCACACCCTTACCAGAATATTTCAGGCCCTCCTCGTGATTTATCTCTCCGACTAGCGCGAGGTTTTTAATTAAGTCATCGTAGAGAAGTGAAATATAAGGACTGGATTATTCGGGTAAAATGTGAAAAACTTATGAACCCAAAATTCCCCATATCTATATAACTTTTTAATCTCATTTAAAACCGACTAGTGATGCAAAAATATTTTATAGTTTTAGCAGCAACTGAATAAAGTCATCATTTACTTTTACGCAACTAAAATTTCAATGTTGACACTAAAAACTACTTTAGGTGTACTTAAAGCCGTAAGATTTACTCCATCAAAACAATACAGGGTAAACTCACATCATTGTTTTATATAAAGTCGCTAAATTTTAATCAGTTCATGATTGATACAGCGGATGAAGACCTCATATTTTCTTATATTTGACCCGGCTTTTAAAGATATATACTTAACAAAAGTCGGTTTACTTTTATTCAGTTTTTAAACAAGTACCTGCAAATATGTCATTTAAGTTTTTTTTTTAGCTTTAAATGTATGTGCTGTATATAATCTTATTGTCAATAGTAAATTCTCAATATGCAGGTGCTCCTACATACAGGAGGCTAATTCATAGAAGAAGTGTACATTCGGAAACGAAATGACCTTTTCCGTGTTGTATTTATATGCATGGTTATTCACCGCGGAACTGCTTTGTTGACATATGGCCGAAAAAATAAACTTGGCAGGTTTCAGCGCGTTAGGACCAGTAGAACTTCAGATGTTCAAAAATGCTTTGATGGAACTGGAGGATGACAACGATGAAGACATGTACAGTCGACCTGGAGCCCAGTTATCCGGAAAACAAACGTTTACAAGTCAAGACGGAAGAAGCGTTACTGGATACCCGGTGCTCGTTGACTTTCGACGTCTTTTGCAATTATCTCCCAGCAATCTGAATGCAGCTTTTACAGGAGACAGTTCAATAATACCTGGTGTAGGACTTTATTCATGCCTTACATGATGCTTGTTTCATAAAATAAAAAAAAAAACAGCCAAATTTTTTAGAACCACAATGCACAAGATGTTTGGTTGACAAAGAATGAATGACCCCATTAAAATTTTTTGTAAAATACAAATCACCAAAAGACATCAGATGTTAAATGATCTAGATTACAACATGTAATCTACAACTCTGAAAAAGGGGTAGGTCTTTTCACCACAGAAAACAACCGAACACCTTAAACCACATGCGAACACCCCAAAAGTGAATTAAAACTTTGAAAAAAACAATAATGTGTGTCAATAAAAGCAGAAAACTGTTGAATTTGTTGATTTTTTATCGCAATTTCAAAGAATAATTAAACTGAGAATACACACATTCGTTTAAGGAAAATTTGTATTTCATTTTCTGGACAAAAACGAAGCTTCATCGGAATATTACTTTACTTAACAATTTCAGAACACAGGAGCATGGATGACTTATATGTGTTCTTAATGTAGGATAAATCAATTTTAGCCTGACACGCGTCTGGAAGGAGGGGGATAACAAGATTAAACGTGATAATCGCCAATCTAACAAATTCAAGTTTTTGACTAATCAAAATTTCTACAGGTAATGCCAAATGCAGCTTATGTATCCTAAAAAATGCGAAAAATGTATTTGTACATAATATATTCATGATATCTTGACACACGTCTTAGATAAACATGTTAAACGTGATAATTTCAAATCTTGATTAATCGCAATTGTCAATAATGATTTGTGCAAGAGTTTGAAGTTAAATTTCTCAGAAATAAATAAGAATATTCATTTCAATGATTTCCACATAATAACTTAAGTTTGAATGAATGATATCCACAAAAGAAGGTGTAAAATGAAAATTGGAATAAATAATTAAACAGCTTGACACACGTCGGTGTTAATCAGATTAATGTCTTACTCGCTTATAATGATTAAACGCAATTAACAAATGTACACACAATTTTGAGTTACAGGAGTAACACTGTACTGAATTCTTGGAACAATTTTGTCTGCTCTCCCCAAAAGGCCAAAAATCGGGCATTATGATTTCAGTTATAGACTTTTAGAATATTTTGGAGATCTTTTCTAAAAAAAATTGGTTCAGACAATATATACCTTTTTGTAAATCTCTTCAGATTTTAGAACCAATCGTAAATTTGAGCAATAATATCAAAAGGAAATAAATATTGTTCAATTTTTTTTATCGGAAATAAAATGTTGTCCAATAATCTTTACAGGAAATTGTCGACTCTTTTATTTTTTCGATGTAAATATTTGTTCTTATTTCCTTTTATTTGTTATCTTAATACTTTATTATTAAACCTATCGAACCTTCTAAAACACTTGTTGAAACTCTTTACTAAATTATAACCAGTAGACAATATAAATAGCACAAAAAGATCGAAACAAAGATTATTCTTGTGTTCTGCGGTGTTTTACAGTGTTCATTGTGGTCAGTTACTCTCCTATTCTGTAGGATGTTAAAATTCAGTCTCATATCCTTTATTTGTTAATCTTTTTACTAAATTACAACAAAAGTTAAAATAAATTTAAAAAAAATGATAAAAAGGTACTACATTGTACTTTGGGTGTTTGGTGGTATTTTGCAGTGTTCATGACTCTTCTACACTTTTGGGTGTTAATAATTGGTCTCGTTTCCTTTTTATTTGTTAACCTTTTTACTAAAATACGTAAAATAGATAAGATAACATAATAAAATATTGGTTTTTCATAGTTTTAGATTATTTTGGGGTGTGCGGTGGTGTTCGGCGGTGAAAAGTCATATCGGTAAAAAAGTGTCTATATAGAAAATATCAAGCTCTAGTCTAAGCCGTTCTTTGTGAATGACTTTCAGAGATATTGTTAAGTGCATTTGTAGGATAGATATTTGGTCATTTCTAGTCTGTGGAATCAAATACAATTTTTTAATTACAAGAAAATTCTCATGGATATCTTGTTCGAGTATGCTTATAATAATGCATTATACTCTAAAAAGGGATGTTAATTCAAACTGTGCACCATAATCTTAGTTTGAGACAGGACATACTGTTAAGGAAAGGTATATTGATCTTGTGTTTACTATTTCAGATATCTAACAAAGACCTACTGCATTCAGTGATAGGACTCTATGATGTATCTCTATCTGAAATGACTCCAGATGTTCTATATTCTACAGTCTGTGAAAAATGGGCCAGAACAATAGTTATTGTCAGAGATGTAAAAGGTATAAAAATTTGCCCGAACAATAGTTATTGTCAGAGATATAAAAGGTATAAAAATGGGCCAGAACAATGGTTATTGTCAGAAATGTAAAAGGTATAAAAATAGGCCAGAACAATGGTTATTGTCAGAGATGTAAAAGGGATAAAAATAGGCCAGAACAATAGTTATTGTCAGAGATGTAAAAGGTATAAAAAAAGGCCAGAACAATAGTTATTGTCAGAGATGTAAAAGGTATAAAAATGGGCCAGAACAATAGTTATTGTCAGAAATGTAAAAGGTATAAAAATGGACCAGAACAATAGTTATTGTCAGAGATATAAAAGGTATAAAAATGGGCCAGAACAATAGTTATTGTCAGAGATGTCAGAAATGTAAAAGGTATAAAAATGGGCCAGAACAATAGTTATTGTCAGAGATGTAAAAGGTATAAAAATGGGCCAGAACACTAGTTATTGTCAGAAATGTAAAAGGTATAAAAATGGGCCAGAACTATAGTTATTGTCAGAGATGTAAAAGGTATAAAAATGGACCAGAACAATAGTTATTGTCAGAAATGTAAAAGGTATAAAAATGGGCCAGAACACTAGTTATTGTCAGAGATATAAAAGGTATAAAAATGGGCCAGAACAATAGTTATTGTCAGAAATGTAAAAGGTATAAAAATGGACCAGAACACTAGTTATTGTCAGAGATGTAAAAGGTATAAAAATGGACCAGAACACTAGTTATTGTCAGAAATGTAAAAGGTATAAAAATGGGCCAGAACACTAGTTATTGTCAGAGATGTAAAAGGTATAAAAATGGGCCAGAACAATAGTTATTGTCAGAGATGTTAAAGGTATAAAAATGGGCCAGAACAATAGTTATTGTCAGAGATGTAAAAGGTATAAAAATGGGCCAGAACAATAGTTATTGTCAGAGATGTAAAAGGTATAAAAATGGGCCAGAACAATAGTTATTGTTAGAGATGTTAAAGGTATAAAAATGGGCCAGAACAATAGTTATTGTCAGAGATGTTAAAGGTATAAACATGGGCCAGAACAATGGTTTTGTCAGAAATGTAAAAGGTATAAAAATGGGCCAGCACAATAGTTATTGTCAGAGATGTTAAAGGTATAAAAATGGGCCAGAACACTAGTTATTGTCAGAAATGTAAAAGGTATAAAAATGGGCAAGAACAATAGTTATTGTCAGAGATGTAAAAGGTATAAAAATGGGCCAGAACAATAGTTATTGTCAGAGATGTAAAAGGTATAAAAATGGGCCAGAACAATAGTTATTGTCAGAGATGTAAAAGGTATCAAAATGGGCCAGAACAATAGTTATTGTCAGAGATGTAAAAGGTATCAAAATGGGCCAGAACAATAGTTATTGTCAGAGATGTAAAAGGTATAAAAATGGGCCAGAACACTAGTTATTGTCAGAGATGTAAAAGGTATAAAAATGGGCCAGAACACTAGTTATTGTCAGAGATGTAAAAGGTATAAAAATGGGCCAGAACAATAGTTATTGTCAGAAATGTAAAAGGTATAAAAATGGGCCAGAACAATGGTTATTGTCAGAGATGTAAAAGGTATAAAAATGGGCCAGAACAATAGTTATTGTCAGAAATGTAAAAGGTATAAAAATGGGCCAGAACAATGGTTATTGTCAGAGATGTAAAAGGTATAAAAATGGACCAGAACACTAGTTATTGTCAGAGATGTAAAAGGTATAAAAATGGACCAGAACACTAGTTATTGTCAGAAATGTAAAAGGAATAAAAATGGGCCAGAACACTAGTTATTGTCAGAGATGTTAAAGGTATAAAAATGGGCCAGAACACTAGTTATTGTCAGAGATGTTAAAGGTATAAAAATGGGCCAGAACACTAGTTATTGTCAGAGATGTTAAAGGTATAAAAATGGGCCAGAACACTAGTTATTGTCAGAGATGTAAAAGGTATAAACATGGGCCAGAACAATGGTTATTGTCAGAAATGTAAAAGGTATAAACATGGGCCAGAACAATGGTTATTGTCAGAGATGTTAAAGGTATAAAAATGGGCCAGAACAATGGTTATTGTCAGAGATGTTAAAGGTATAAACATGGGCCAGAACAATGGTTATTGTCAGAAATGTAAAAGGTATAAAAATGGGCCAGAACACTAGTTATTGTCAGAGATGTTAAAGGTATAAAAATGGACCAGAACACTAGTTATTGTCAGAAATGTAAAAGGTATAAAAATGGGCCAGAACACTAGTTATTGTCAGAAATGTAAAAGGTATAAAAATAGGCCAGAACACTAGTTATTGTCAGAGATGTAAAAGGTATAAAAATAGGCCAGAACACTAGTTATTGTCAGAGATGTAAAAGGTATAAAAATAGGCCAGAACACTAGTTATTGTCAGAGATGTAAAAGGTATAAAAATAGGCCAGAACACTAGTTATTGTCAGAGATGTAAAAGGTATAAAAATAGGCCAGAACAATAGTTATTGTCAGAGATGTAAAAGGTATAAAAATGGGCCAGAACAATAGTTATTGTCAGAGATGTAAAAGGTATAAAAATGGGCCAGAACACTAGTTATTGTCAGAGATGTAAAAGGTATAAAAATGGGCCAGAACACTAGTTATTGTCAGAGATGTAAAAGGTATAAAAATGGGCCAGAACACTAGTTATTGTCAGAGATGTAAAAGGTATAAAAATGGGCCAGAACACTAGTTATTGTCAGAGATGTAAAAGGTATAAAAATGGGCCAGAACAATAGTTATTGTCAGAGATATAAAAGGTATAAAAATTCAACTTTTCTTATTGAATTTACCAAAACGAAAGGTGATGATGAATAATTTACTTTTGTAAACAGTTGTGATCAAAATTTGTTTTTAATTGTGATTTATTAATTGTTAATAAATTGCTTTGAGTCTATTAACCACTAAAATTCAGATAATCTATTGATATATAGTGTCTGAAACATAGTCTGGTGTCCCTACTTATAAATGTATAAACAATTGACTTCTTGACATGAACTTAGATTATCTGGATTGACCTCCCTTTCCCCACTCTTTTCCTCGCAAGTTAAATTTTTTTTTTATAAAAGTCTAGACCTTTGACCTTATGGTGTGATTTAATTGGATTTCATTTAGGTCAGTTGTTACCACAAATCATAAGTTCAATCAGTTCACAATACACATATATATATATAATACTAAGTGTCATGCAGACGTACATGTACATCTACACCTTTAATTGAAAGGCGCATACTTTTCAAAGATCAGTCCCTTGGGAAAGTTAACATCAAATATTATCAAAGTAATAAGAATATACACTGATCAGGTAACACATTGAAATTCTTTGCATGTTAATGTTTTAGTTAGCCATAATAAAGTTTGTTGAGATAGAATGCAACAAAACATTGAATGAAAGTTAATGTATCCCATTCATTTTTAATTTTTTTTTTATTTCAACAAGAAAATAGATTTGGCTTTAACAGGAGGTTATGTATTGACATGTAGAAGTAAATAAAAAATTTAAACATTTACTCAGTTAACTAAAAATAATCTACTTATAGAAGTGGGACCCAAGATTGACATACTTAAAAGTCTGTTTATTTTTTAAAGTGTCCTACTAAGTACTTTCTCCCTCCTTAAATGGTTCTTTAGTTTGCTGTTTTTTTATGATTCATGGTGGACAGAAAATATAAACTTTAAAAAGTATAGGATAATGACCTTAATAAAAGTGAATACATCTAGCTGACATCTGAATACAAGATAAAACAAAGCTAAAGAGAGATAACTGCTAATGTTTGTAAAAGAACTTATGATAAATAAAAGTCAGATTGAAACAATTTTAGTATACAAATTAAATGAGAAGGTACGTATGGTATGATCCAGCAACTTTTTTGGCCACTTGAATCAAAAAGTGTAAAAAATCTACCAAATAATATTCTTCAGACATCCATATTTATATTATTGACTTTTGTCATACATATTTGCATTTTATGCCATGCATTAAGAATACAATTGGGCTTGAAAATATTTAAAAAAAATAAGCATATAATTGTAAGCACCTGGGGTCTTCCCTGGTTATTATGGAGTTCATGATGTTTAATCTTTAGTTTTCTGTGTACTGTTCTGTTGTCGTTGTTTAATCTTAAGTTTTCTGTGTACTGTTTTGTTGTTGTTGTTTAATCTTTAGTTTTCTGTGTACTGTTCTGTTGTCGTTGTTTAATCTTAAGTTTTCTGTGTACTGTTTTGTTGTTGTTGTTTAATCTTAAGTTTTCTGTGTACTGTTTTGTTGTTGTTGTTTAATCTTTAGTTTTCTGTGTACTGTTTTGTTGTTGTTGTTTAATCTTAAGTTTTCTGTGTACTGTTTTGTTGTTGTTGTTTAATCTTCAGTTTTCTGTGTACTGTTTTGTTGTTGTAGTTTAATCTTTAGTTTTCTGTGTACTGTTTTGTTGTTGTTGTTAAACTTTAGTTTTCTGTGTACTGTTTTGTTGTTGTTTTTTAATCATTAGTTTTCTGTGTACTGTTTTGTTGTTGTTTAATCTTTAGTTTACTGTGTACTGTTTTCTTGCTGTTGTTTAATCTTTAGTTTTCTGTGTACTGTTTTGTTGTTGTTGTTTAATCTTTAGTTTTCTGTGTACTGTTTTGTTGTTGTTGTTTAATCTTAAGTTTTCTGTGTACTGTTTTGTTGTTGTTGTTTAATCTTCAGTTTTCTGTGTACTGTTTTGTTGTTGTTGTTTAATCTTCAGTTTTCTGTGTACTGTTTTGTTGTTGTAGTTTAATCTTAAGTTTTCTGTGTACTGTTTTGTTGTTGTTGTTTAATCTTCAGTTTTCTGTGTACTGTTTTGTTGTTGTAGTTTAATCTTTAGTTTTCTGTGTACTGTTTTGTTGTTGTTGTTAAACTTTAGTTTTCTGTGTACTGTTTTGTTGTTGTTTTTTAATCATTAGTTTTCTGTGTACTGTTTTGTTGTTGTTTAATCTTTAGTTTACTGTGTACTGTTTTGTTGCTGTTGTTTAATCTTTAGTTTTCTGTGTACTGTTTTGTTGTTGTTGTTTAATCTTTAGTTTACTGTGTACTGTTTTGTTGCTGTTGTTTAATCTTTAGTTTTCTGTGTACTGTTTTGTTGTTGTTAGTCATGGTGTTGTCTGTTTTTATTGGACTTATGGTTTCTAAGATGTCCCCTTGGAGTCCTCTCTCTTTTTGAAGTTGCAGCAGAAATAAAAGGTAGTTGAAACTATTCTATTCAATTATGTGTATATAGAATGAAGGATTTTGTCTTTTTCCTTCATTGTACCAGGCTTCATTGCATTTTCTCCATGGAAATGGGTGAGTAAAATACTCTGTTTGTAGTGTCCACTTTTATTAGCAAAAATAGTGTCAAGAATAAACGCTGAAAATAGAGATCAGATTACTTTAGATTTTTAAAAAAAATTATTAACTTCAAGAAAAAAATTAGGAAAAAATTATTGAAATCTTGAATGTTTGAAAATTTAAAAACTTTGTCTTTTAGACACCATCATCGATATGGAAGAGCATAAATTGTCTAAAAGTGATAAAACAGAGAAAAAAGAAACAGAATGTGAAATTAAAGAAGAGGAAGACGGCAAAGATAAATATGAAGAAGAAGAATCTACTCCTAGCAAATTTGCTGGAGTTTACAGTGATACAGAATCTGAGGAAGAGGAAGAGGAAGAAGACGATGAGTGAGTAATCTCCCTTGATTTGAAATATGTTTAAGTTTGTATTGTTTCTTGAATGTCTCATTTTTGTTGCAGGTCTTTTGTTGTAATATCATATGCATTTTTATGGTGTGTTTCAAGGGAATTTTTTTTTAAAGATATAATATGATTGTTGTGGTAGATATTTCACAGCATAATAAATGTGCAGTAAGGTTTGTGAATTTTCTTGATCGGATGTCTGATCAAAGCTAACTTTTCCAAAATCAAGTATAAATTATGGAAAAATTGGACTAAAACGTAAATGTTACAACACACATACTGCATAATTAAGGGATCTATAATCCATAATTTATAATGTGACGTTCCAAAAGAAGTTAGTTTGTATTAATAGTTATATCACAACTTTTTCTGTATAGAATTTAAGCTATCTGGTAAGATTAGAAAAAAACATTAAAATCTAAGGGCCAATTTTAACCCTTTATGAACCTACTCATTTGATTAATCTCTGATTTATATGATATTTTGTACTTTTTCAGTGAAGAAGACTTTTCACTTGGTATCAACTCATTCATAAAAGCAGCATCACAAAGAAGAAAACAAAGAAAATCCAAAGATAAGATAGAAGAAACTGATTGTGGTGTCGAAAATAGAATTCTTGGCTGTGCTACATATGAGAAAAAATACATGTAAGATATATTATTGCCAAATCATATATAACTTCTCTTATTATTCTGTATAAAGAAAAGTAAATATTATATGATACCTACTCTTGAATGCATTGTATGTTTATTGCAAGGCATACAGATAATGGCCATTTTCAGCTGTAGACAGCTGTAAGACAACTTTAGTGACATAATTTTGGAGTCTTAAATTTACTCTTTCAAAGTAAGTATGGTCAATCAATCAGAATCGAAGACAAAAGACTAGACACAGATATATACCATGAGACGGCTGGATACAAAGCAATACTGAATTATTAATGTTATGAAATGATTAACACGAATTAAAATAAAACATTTAATTTTTGGCAAATAATTACAATTTTATATGACAAAAACAATAATAGACGTTAAAGTTAATTCAATCAATGTTCAGCATGCGCACCATCTGTCAACAACCTTTTGTCCACATGTCTATATCCATTCCGAATGAAAACGAATCTAAAATCCACACGTCTATATCCATTTTCAGTGAATACGAATCTAAATTATCAGTGATAAACTATGATGATCCATCGTCCTCTGATCAGTAAACAATTACATTGAAAATACGTCTATCCACAGTAGAAAATCAGCATATATATGTGCATGGAACATACGCTGAAAAATTAAACTCCCACAGAAAATGAAACTGAAATTTCTGACCATAAATAATGGGAGGGTTAGTTTTCAGCAATTAATGGCAGAATGAAAAACTTTAATTTCTTTTAATCACAAGTCGATAAAGGAACCAATCAAAAATCATTGTTCAAATATAAAATTCATAACAAGTTGTATCATTAGATAAATGTAAAGAACCGAAATAATTCGACCAGTATAAAGTCTTTTTCTTAAATCTCCAGTCGCCAATTATGTTATTTTAATGAATTAAAAATAGCACAACAAGTGAAGGATTTTAACAGACCCTTGGTCTTGTGTGTTTAAGTGCTTCAAGTCATTAAAAAAAGAAGATAAAGAAAATGGACCTGGAGACAAATCAGTCATATACATATTGTAGTGAAAAAGAAGTCATTTGTAAGCCCAGTAGTCAGTGCTTTAACACTGACAAGATTTATAACATATATTTCTAAAATTTTCCGTTGTTGAATCAAGAAAAATTTAAGAAACTAAGGTTTCAACTCCGTCAGTCAAGTTGACCTTAGATGATTTTGGCTACTCTGTTTAGGTCCTGTTGGTCATATAGCTCCGTTATAAGTATTTTATACCCTTGACTTTCAAATGTTTGGTTTGGATCATCTCTGAGGAAGGTAAATCCAGAAAAGCACTTATAATACCTCAAACTAAAGGGTAATTTTCATAAAAAGTTAGTTTATTTAATTTTAACAGCAAACATCATGATATGTTTGTCATTTAATGATTATTAATTAAACTACATGATTATAAAATTATTTATTTTTTTATATAGTAAACACAAAGAAAGAGTAGTTCATCTTACATTGGTCACAGTGAGGAAAAGATTTAGGAAGTATGGTTTAGGGAAATACCTTCTTCAGGTAAGATTTAGGAAATACGGTCTAGGGAAATATCTTCTTCAGGTAAAATTTAGGAAGTATTGTCTAGGGAAGTATCTTCTTCAGGTCAGATTTAGGGAAATACCTTCTTCATGTAAGATTTAGGAAGTATGGTTTAGGTAAATACCTTCTTCAGGTAAGATTTAGGGAGTATGGTTTAGGGAAATACCCTTTTTCAGGTAAGATTTAGGAAGTTTGGTTTATGGAAATACCTTTTTCAAGTAAGATTTAGGAAGTATGGTCTAAGAAAATACCTTCTTCAGGTAAGATTTAGAAAGTATGGTCTAGGGAAATACCCTTTTTCAGGTAAGATTTAGGAAGTTTGGTTGAGGGAAATACCTTCTTCAGGTAAGATTTAGGAAGTATGGTCTAGGGAAATACCTTCTCCAGGTAAGATTTAGGAAGTATGGTTTAGGAAAATACCTTCTTCAGGTAAGATTTAGGAAATATGGTTTAGGGAAATACCTTCTTCAGGTAAGATTTAGGAAGTATGGTTTAGGGAAATACCTTCTCCAGGTAAGATTTTGGAAGTATGGTTTAGGGAAATACCTTCTGCAGGTAAGATTTAAGAAGTATGGTTTAGGGAAATACCTTCTGCAGGTAAGATTTAGGAAGTATGGTTTAGGGAAATACCTTCTTCAGGTAAGATTTAAGAAGTATGGTTTAGGGAAATACCTTCTTCAGGTATCCTTTTTGAATACTATTTTTTTACAGGCTTTATAAATACTTTCAATAAGACGTTTATAGTTTTATATATCAAAGGTCAGCTTACATCACAATCTTATTTGTGAGAAAATTGTGATATCCCTTTTTATACTTTCAATTTCATTTATTGTTTGGTCTGTTTTCTTGACTGTGACCAAAGCATAGTTAAGGAGCATTAATATGCAACAATATAACCAGTTGATATTACAAAGTGAATTTCATAAAAAAACCAGTAAAACTAATTTGAAATGAAATTGTAATATAAATTAAAAAAAATCTGTTTAGCGCAGCAACTTTTGGATAATGTGATAGCTTTCATTAAAACCGGGCATATTTAGATTTTATTTGATTATTATTTTCTGTTCTAGCAAATAATAGACCCTGCTATAGTAGGCCAGTATGATGCAGTCGTTGTACATGCAGACAATGCAGCGGTAGAATTTTTCCAGAAGTATGGATTTTCTGATGATATTGTGTTGAACAGTAGATGGAGGTATGTTGATAAAGGTATCAATGGATAGAAAAACCCACCACAGGTTCTGCTGAAAGGACCTCTTAATTTTACCCCCACTAGTCCTTTAACAAATGGACCTTGGACAATAGACTAATCACATGATGGTAGTTAATTGCTGTTTTCTTCGTACTATCTGATTGCTTATATTTAATCACTGACATTTTGCTAACAATTGAAGATGGTCTATATATTAATGATGAAATGTAATAATTTTAAATACGACAGAAGTTTAGATGATTCAAACAATAAAATGCACATGATAAGTTTTTAAAGAAATTTACAACTGTGTATTAATTCTATTTTTGAAGTATAAATCATGAATTTATTAGAAAAAGGTATCTTTAGAAGATGATAGATATAGGAAGATGTGGTATGAGTGCCAATGAGACAACTCTCCATCCAAGTTACAATTTATAAAAGTAAACCATTATAGGTCAAGGTACAGCCTTCAACACGGAGCATTGGCTCACACCGAACAGCAATCTATAAAGGGCCCCAAAATATTACTAGTGTAAAACCATTCAAACGGAAAAAACCAACGGTCTAATCTTTATAAAAACGAGAAACGAGAACCACATATGAACTACATAAACAGACGACAACTACTGTAATCAGATTCCTGACTTAGGACAGGTGCAAACATTTGCAGCGGGATTAAACGTTTTAATGGTACCAAACCTTCTCCCTTTTCTGAAACAATAGTATAACATCATAAATATCTAGAAGCCCTAATCTGACTGTAAAACATATTTGAAACACATACAGCTATTCTTATATATATCTGTATCTTTGTGACCAACCATGGAAATAATATTAAAATATACTGTGGATTCATTTTTATTCATGGTATACAAATTTTCGTGGGTTTCGTGGGTCACACCGAACCACGAATTTAAGAATTCAACGAAGAATAATCCCGAGAAATGTGTATGGAGTCGAATGTTTATGTCAGGTTATGTTATGCAGTTCTAGTATAGTGTTGATTAGCGATAAACATTGTAACATAACACGTGTTTTTATTGAAAGAAGATACAAGTATTTTGATTAAATCAATAATAAATATATCGAATATCAGTGATAACTTACTTTTTAAAATTGATTAAAACTGTTCATGGAAAATAACGGCAAGTTGTTAATTACCATGTCATAGTTTGGTTTACTGGTGATTAAAAATCAATAGGATTAAGTACGGGGATATTGCCCGTAGGTAATATTGTTTATGACAGGAACATTTATTTTCACACCTTTAACTTGTATGACTGTTTATTATATCGTGATTAGAGAAATGAGCTTTCAATCATAGAGTTTTGAATGCCTTATAAAATTCCGACAAGAATTTATAAATTGTAAAACAAACAAATAATTAGTTGTCTCTGTCCATTATTGTAATAGAAGTTTTCAATGAACAATTAAACCTAGAATGACCAAGCGAGTATTTTGACAATTCAAAACTTTTTCAATGAATTCCTTCTTTTTTGTTTGTTTTATTATTGATCAAACCAAGGAGGTTATATGATCTCCGAAATCAAAAAGAAATCCATGAATTACGTTTCAGATTTATTTTTTTTTTGTAATCAGCGATCCACGAATTTACGTATACCACGAAATGTCTTTTTTTCTCTATCCACGAAAATTGATACCCACGAAAATAAATGAATCCACAGTAGAATGCAAATGACATAAAATTTGGTATAAACTTTATTACTCTTTCTTTTTCAGTGATTTAGCAGAACAATTCACAAATTGTACATTAATGTGCTATTTACCAGGTTTCTCAGGTCAGTTATTAATTAATATAAAAATGTTTTTATTGAAAAAAAGTATTCTGATGGATTTAGTCAAATAAAAAGCAAGTAAAACTTACCAACACAAACAAAAGTAAAAATACAGTATTCAGAATGCAATAATTATCTATTTAATTAAAATATGATTAATATTTAGGAAATTTTGTATGAAGTTACAGTATGGGAGTTTCTATACATGCCAGCCTCTTAAAAAACGAAGTCCCAATCCATGAAATTGTCTTCACATCTTTTTTTTTATAATTGGTTATGATATCTGCATTATTTTCAGGGCATTCATTACTAAAGACAATCAAAATACCAGACTTTGAAGTATTTGAATTAGAACAAGAGTTTAATAAATGGTAATTATATTCTATATAAGTGCTTTTTTGTAAGATATATGAAACTTTCAAAACAATCAAAGCCATCAAATTATCTATTAGAATATTTTTGGTGTCTATTGTCTGTCTTGCTATTATATCCCCACTCATGGAATGGGTGTTATACTGCAATGCATATGTTTTTTTATGTTACCTACAAACCTATTTGTTTACTTTAACAAACCAAGTATTGTTTATGGTTCAGAAGTAGTAGGGAGAGTGTAATCACAAACAGGTTGAATATCAACACAATGTAAGTTAACCAATAAATTAATTGCTGAGTCAAGTTACCCTCTGTAATGTCTTCATAGTGTTAAGTTTACTAAGAATTAAAAGACTAACATATTTTTCAAACTCATTTGCAAATTAAAAAAAATATTCTAGGGAACTGGTCTGTTACGACCGAAGTTTGCTGGAGTTGAGGCCATATGGAGCATTGCCTGAAAAAATTCTCACAATGAATCAATTGATTAGATGTTTGGTATATAGTTATATCATTAGAATTCAAGTTTGTGTTTTGTTCTGGTTGAGTTATTTTTTAAGAAATTTTGGCCATTTGATATAGAAAATTGCTTAAAAATATTAGATTACTTTTTTTTTTAATATCTGATTAAGTCATTAGAGTTGTTTTATCTGTAATCAGTCCTAAAGATATACTAAGATAATTATTGAGGTCTTGAACAAGTATTTAGATATTATATATGTACAAGAGTTTTAATCATATGTGCACCTCAAAAAGACCACATGATTTTCTTTTAAAGTGTATTGTTTATAGTTAACTTTGTACAGTTAAACCTGTCTTGTTTTCATGGTGAATTTTATGTCATATACAAAAATTTGTACAAAACAGCATATCAATACTTTAATAAGACATTTACATTATGAAAATACTCCACTTAATGGGTACTGCCATCATTTGATTGGTTTAGGATTAAAATCATAGAAAATATTCTTGGGAAAGAGATTGTAGAACCTAAGCCAAGATTGAAAACTAACCAATATCAACTGATGAAGAAGGAAGAGGTTTAACAAAGAAATTTTCGTTTTCTAATTTTTTTTTGTTTTTTGTAGGAAATCAAAAACTACAGAAGTGTACCAGAATCAAGTGTCCATAGTAATGAGGATGAAACATGAAATCATACAGCTCAAAGCACTGGTATGTTAGATTTTACATTTAATTCATTGTTATTGTGCCCCGCCCACTTCCTGTCTATGTGTCAATAGTTATGAGAATGAAACATGAAATCATACAGCTCAAAGCACTGGTATGTTAGATTTTACATTTAATTCATTGTTATTGTGCCCCGCCCACTTCCTGTCTGTGTGTCCATAGTTATGAGAATGAAACATGAAATCATACAGCTCAAAGCACTGGTATGTTAGATTTTACATTTAATTCATTGTTATTGTGCCCTGCCCACTTCCTGTCTATGTGTCCATAGTTATGAGGATGAAACATGAAATCATACAGCTCAAAGCACTGGTATGTTAGATTTTACATTTAAGTCGTTGTTATTGTGCCCCGCCCACTTCCTGTCTGTGTGTCCATAGTTATGAGAATGAAACATGAAATCATACAGCTCAAAGCACTGGTATGTTAGATTTTACATTTAATTCATTGTTATTGTGCCCCGCCCACTTCCTGTCTATGTGTCCATAGTTATGAGAATGAAACATGAAATCATACAGCTCAAAGCACTGGTATGTTAGATTTTACATTTAATTCATTGTTATTGTGCCCCGCCCACTTCCTGTCTATGTGTCCATAGTTATGAGGATGAAACATGAAATCATACAGCTCAAAGCACTGGTATGTTAGATTTTACATTTAATTCATTGTTATTGTGCCCCGCCCACTTCCTGTCTGTGTGTCCATAGTTATGAGAATGAAACATGAAATCATACAGCTCAAAGCACTGGTATGTTAGATTTTACATTTAATTCATTGTTATTGTGCCCCGCCCACTTCCTGTCTATGTGTCAATAGTTATGAGGATGAAACATGAAATCATACAGCTCAAAGCACTGGTAAGTTAGATTTTACATTTAATTCATTGTTATTGTGCCTGCCTATGCCTGTGCTTATGTTCTTCCGATTGTTTGCCTGTAATTTCCTGGGTCATCAAGCAGGTTTAAATATTGGTTTAAGGTATTTATACATAAAGTTTTGGTTAAATCAACTTGAAACTTTGTACACATTTACATTATGATAATGAACTTTTAAAGAAAAATACGCCAAATTAGGGTTTTGACCCAGATTTGATATCAGTTCACTAATCATGAGTTTTAAAAATACCTGAAGTTTTTAGCATGCTTATCATTCTGAGAAACAAAAGGTTGATTCTGATCTTTATACATTTTTGTTTTGGTCTGTATTTCAACAGGTTAAAACTATGATCAGTAGAGAATCTTACAAAATTGCATACTTAAATTACCAATTTGTATACAGGTATCCTTTGTTTATTATACCCCACGGAACAAAGTTCAGTATGGTATAATGTTTTTGACCTGTCCGTCTGTCTGTCCGTCCGTCCATCATTCTGTCCGTCATTCTGTCCATCCTTCAGTTCTGTTCTTGTCATCGCATCTCCTCTGCAACCACACAACAGAATTTCATCAAACTTTGTAGATAATAAGGACATACTATGTAGATATGTATATCAATAGAAAATTATAATTCAACTTTTCTTCTAGGAGTTATGCCCCTTTGAACATAGAATTTTGGCCTAAATATAATACTGCAACAGGTTGTCATGGCAACTCCTCTGAAACCACACAACATGAAACTTTATAGATAATAAGGACATAATATGTAGATGTGCATATCCACAAGAAATTTTTATCAGTTGACTTTTGTAGGAATCTGGTGAGATTTTGTTTGTCCTGTGACAATGTGGGGGCGTGGGGGTATGTGAGCGTGCTCACAAAAGTTCTTTAATTAGACAGGAGATTTAAGGAAGATAACAGCTTTTATTGTCAAAAACATAATTGGATTGAATTAAATTGATTGATTGATTAAAGATTGCAACAAAATTTGATTGTATGGCTTTTGTGAAAAGCTTGATGTTTAGAAATGTTATATAACGTTTAAATAAAAACAACATATTGTTCACACAAACTATCATATAGTATATAATAACTTACAGGTAACTGATAAAAGGAAGATAATTTCTTAATTGCAGGTTGATAGGCAGCAAAAATTGATTGAAACCCTTCTCAGAGACAATGATAGAGTGAAAAAAGAAAGGGCTACAATAGGTAAGCATTTCCCTTTGCATTGTCCCATTATCAAATTTAAAACTTTTACTTATAACTTGATGAGCATCAGAATTTATTTGCAATAGTCAGTTATGTAGAACATGAAGTATATATAAATGTTTAAGTTTTCAGACTTTGAAAGAATGTAAATTGAGGTATTCTAGTATAAATATGATTTTGACCCAAGGAATTGAGTTTATTTTTTGCTGTTGTTTAGAGTACTCTGTCTGTGAGTTTAACCACCCCTCCATCCCTAACCCTTTGTGAACACTACTACTCTGAGAATGTTTATCTGAAAAATTAAAAAAACTTACTAAGATAGTTCAACATTGTGTGTATGTACCATTTTGAATTTACAATTTTGCTAGACTTATTAGACTTTTACCATTTTTTACCTATTGAAGAAAATGTACCCATCATGGTCAAATTCAACTAAATCTCCCAGACTTGTAAGCAAGAAATATGGGCTTTGACAGATTGAAACAGTATTTTAGCTGGATTTCTGCTGCATTATACCCAATTTTTATGTGTGCTAACGAAACCAAATACTGTTATAGTTATGCATGCTAATAATGCATTATAATATTAAATAGAAATAACAGAAATTGCTAAAATACAGGACAGTATTACAGACCTTATCAACCATCAAACCCCGATTCCTCTGAAAAAAACCCATCAAAAACAAATACAAACAACACAGGGTCCAGATAGCTGGACTTTGTAAAGGCACAATTTTCTGTATCCTGCCAAATACTGATAATTAATCTCAAAATAACCTAAATCAAATCAAATCAAAAGCTTTATTTAGAGTCAGTACATAAATATAACAGTACACCATAAGCTCATTAAAGCTTTTCAAACCGACAAAGATACTATACATAAATACAAATTACATGTAAATTCAGAAATTATTACATGCATTTATTATTGCGATTTTTTAAGAATGGACAAAAAAGCAAGATTAATTATTGCAATTTCAGAAAAATCTCCATACATTTATGTATATCTGATATTAGAATGCATGTTCTAATTATTGCGATACCCACCCTGTCGCATTATTCGCATTAATAAAACCCTCGCAATAATTTCTGAATTTACAATACATATCATGCACAATACAGATAAACATATACATTATAAAAACATACATATGTCCATAGATACATGTCATACACAAGTCATTTCATGTATTTATATTTAAAGAGTTAAAAAAAAAAAGCACATATATTATATGTATTAAGCTTAAGCAGCCAAAAATTATAATTATTCACTAAGCTAAAGCAGAAAAAACTATTTATCATGCATTAAGCTAAAGCACTAAAACATTATAGAAAGCACAGATAATTTAAATACATAAAACCATAAAACAGTACACTCCAAAAACAAAAGGATGTATTATTAATATTTTGTTATTTTAAAACTTTAATTTTGTGCTGAGTTGCACAAGGTGCGTGAATCAGATTTTGTATAGTAGACTTCTGGAATCTGAGCAGCTGGACATGCTCCGAAAGGAGTGTACATAGTTTGTGGGATAAACCCCTCCTCACCTACAGCCATTGTAGTCTATAGGATGTTTTGTAAATACATTGAAGATGTGGATCTCATGTTGTGTATACATTAGAGGATTTTTGCTGATTGTACAGATGTTAAAAACTATATTTTTACCAGCTATCTTGATGAACATTTTGTACAATTTAACCTTCCTATAGTTTGGTCATAAGGTTTCCAGTTTTCAAGAAGGTTTGTCTATAACTGATGACATTGATTTATTTGGAGAATTTATGATGATTTTCCAGATAGTAAAGTAAGTCTATTACCATTCTTTTGATAAAGGGTAGCCTTTTTGTGTATTAGACTTCTATTACAGCTTTTAACCAGTGAATATTTTGTGCAGTGCACCTCACTGTATCTATGATGAGTTTATTTATCCACACATTCACATGATATTTGGAGAATTGTGCAGATTTTTCAGATAGTGAATTTTAAGTCAATTTTCAACAGCATGCTAGATGGAGGGTACCCATTATTATTTTTTTTATGCCCCACCTATGATAGTAGAGGGGCATTATGTTTTTAGGTCTGTGAGTCAGTTTGTTCGTCCGTCTGTCCTGCTTCAGGTTAAAGTTTTGGTCAAGGTAGTTTTTGATGAAGTTGAAGTCCAATCAACTTGAAACTTAGTACACATGTTCCCTATGATATGATCTTTCTAATTTTAATGCCAAATTTGACCCCAATTTCACGGTCCACTGAACATAGAAAATGATAGTGCGAGTGGGGCATCCATGTACTATGGACACATTCTTGTTTTTGTACATTTTGTTTGTTTGGACTTTTATTGTGATGGGACTATTTTTATGCTCCCTGATGTTTTCAGGGAACATGTAGTAGTTGATTTGATTGTCTTTCCGACCATCTGGAATAAATGCTTTTCTGCATAAAGTTTCCCTTGCTTGATTTAAACAAAACTTATTACAATTGAAGACATAGGGAATGGGAAAAATATAAAAATAAGGAGATGTGGTATGATTGCCAATGAGACAACTATCCCCAGAGTTCAAATGAAGTGAATGTAAGCAGATATAGGCTACCGTATGGTGTTCAACTATGAGAAAAAGCCACAACATATATAGTCGACTATGAAAGGCCCGACATAAAAATGGAAATAATTCAAACGAGAAAACTAGCATCCTACTTTATAACAAAACATTTTACGAAAAAACAAATATGACAGACATGAACCAATGACAACCACTGAACTACAGACTCCTGACTTGGGACAGGCACATAAGCAATGTTGCAGGGTTAAACATGTTTGTCAAGTTCGGTCCCTCCCCTAACCTGGGACATTGATTTTGGTGGCCAATAAGTGAAAGTGCACATTTGCTGTTATTTAAAGTAGAAATTAAAAAAGTTTCTCATGCTTAATTGGTTTGAATATTTTGAATATTATATAAACGACAGACAATATAGGGATAAAAGAGACAAAAGATATAGTGAAGGGGAAGAAGCCTTTTGATTTTGGTGTCTGAGGTCAAACTTCAAGGTCTCTGTTACTAAATATAGATTTTTTGGGAGGACAAATTGGTTTCTGGAAGATAACTTGAATTTCCTGTCTTGGTCCAAGTGAAACTTATTTAGATGGACAATATCTAGATCCGAGGACCCTATTCAATTTTTGATCAAAGGTCATGGTCACAGCTGCTAAAATAGATTGAAAATATATAGAATTATGAGGTGCCGTTTGTTTTTTCTGGACTATTTCTTGAAGCACACAAGTTGAGTTTTAATAAAACTTATACAAGTGGTATAGATATTGAAAAATGAACAAAACCTTTTGATTTTGCGATCAACGTATCAAATTAAAGCGTCGCAGTTACAAAAATAGACAGCTATACATGGAAAGAAATTCTTTAAAATTTTGGGCTCTGGATAAAATTTTACTCAATTTTTTGGGGGGAAAATTTATATATTTTTCAACACATGACATCTATATACATATGTATATTCTGAAATTTTACCAAAATAAATATAAAGATAAGGAGTCAAGTGGTATGATTGCCAATGAGTCCTAGTTTATAACAAAACAATAGAGGAAAAACAAATATAGTAGACATGAAACAACGACATACACTGAACTACAGGCTCCCAGCTTAGGACAGGCACATAAAGAATGTGGCAGGGTTAAACATGTGTGTAGGTGCCAACCCTCCCCGTAACCTGGGACAGTGGTATAACAGTACAAAAAAAAAAAAAAAACAAACTACAAAAATCAGTTGAAAAAGGTCTAACTGATCAGATCAATACAAAGCAGAAATACATCTAACAAAAACACAGACTGGACGTGGCAGGGAATTTATACATCCTCACAACAAAAAAGACACAACGAACTGATCTGAGAGTACTCTCAGTTACTGACAGCTAATTCAAAGCCAATAGCAACTCATAAAAAATCATGTATCTAAGACTCAATTGAATGCACGGTTTATAACGTCACAGTACCCAAATTGCACCCATTTAGCAAAAATAGCAACGGAAATCTTAAGTTTTCTTAGAGACTAAACAATTTGTATTTTTATGATTTGACATTATGCATGTCTTTCAATATAGCTAAATAAATTTAAATGTACTCAAAACTTTCACAGTATATATCAACAGATGTAGTATTCACTCCAAAAAGTAAAACCTACAGAAATGTTGCCAATGCAACGTTCACAAAAAGTCAACTTTTAAAAATGAGCAATTAAAATATGTTACAGGCATCCATTTCTTAAAAAATAAAAAGTAAGTATGGACTATTATCAAATTGTTCTGAATATTTGAAGAAATAAAACAAAACATCAGTTATTCTATTTTTACGGATGTGAGTTTATAAGCATGGATGCAATTTAGGTACTCCTCATTACAGAATCATGGATCGTTTGGAGGTCGGTTCAAACCCATTTTTCTATGAATCAAAATTAAATTGGAGAAACAAGATAGTAAATAAGATTGATACATCTACAAAATAAACACAGAATGGAAACTTTTGACTTGATCATGAATAAACATAGGTGAAAAAACTTTCAAAATAGGTGCAATTTGGGTACCCTCACATTAAACAAAATTTCTTGAAATAGGCTTATATTTTTTTTTAGCAATGTTATGGGGCACATCACTTTCATTCCCATACATTTACTTTGGGGACATTAAATATGAAAGTATATGTTTGTATGGATTTTTTCCTGAAATGATTTGTCATCATTGGAGACAAATAACAACTTTTAACTCACAAAACATGCCATATCATAGCTTTATACTGACAAAACATGCCATATCATAGCTTTAACCTGACAAAACATGTCATATCATAGCTTTAAATTGACAAAACATGCCATATCATAGCTTTAAACTGACAAAACATGCCATATCATAGCTTTAAAAGAAAATATGTTTACCAATCATTTTTAATGATATGATTTAGAAAATAGATGCTTTATACAAAGTCACTTTCTCTACCATAT